AGCATTACTGATGCTTTTAACTATGGCTGGAAGGAGGAAGAGATTTGCTGGACTGGCTTTTTCCTTTGCAGTTTGTCTGGTTTTTGTTTTCTCCTTATTGTAATGACTAGGATCTCTAGTACACTGTTAAATAAAAATTGAGAGCAGATAACCTTGCCTCATTCCAGTCTTCAAGGGCTTAACACTGTCTTTCACCATGAAGCATATATAGTATTGGCAATAGGTATTTTGTAGATGCCCTTCATCAAATTGAGGAAGTTTATTAGTTTGCTGAGTGGCTTTCTAAAAATCTTAACTTGATGTTGGATTTTGTCAAGTTCATTTTCTCCATCTATTATAATTTTCTTTTTAAGTCTAATCTGGTGAGTTATACTGATGGATTTTGAAATGTTAAATCAACATTGCAGCCTTGGAATAAACCTTACTTGGTCATGATTGAATGCCATGAATCCAACCAATTGAATCCAACAATAAATCATCTCAGGACTCTGAGATCATGACCTGAGCCAAAATCAAGAGTCGGATGCTCAACTCACAGAGCCACCTAGGTGCCCCCTAAGTACTGCTTTAGATGGATCCCACATTCTTTTTTTGTTTTCATTCAATTAACCACTTTTTTCATTTCCCTTTTGATTTCTTCTTAGATCCCTAATTTATTTAGAATTACATTGTTTGGTGTCCAAATATTTGGAGATTTTCCACATATCTTCATATTATTGATTTCTATTTGAATTCCATTATGGTCAGATAAATACTTTGTACAATTTGAGTTCTCTTAAATTTACTGAGATTTAATTTATGGCCCAGACTATGGCCTATCTTGACAAGGTCCCATGTGTACTTGAAAAGATTGTGTATTCTGTATTGTTAGATGGAGTGTCCTATAAATGTCAGGTCAAATTGGTTAAGTCTTATATATCCTTATTCAAATTTATACATTTTCTCTTATTTTTTCAATTTTTTTTCTATCCCCCTTTTCCACCTTTCATTCAGTTTCTGTGACTTGTGTGTTTCGGTGTTTTCCTTTTGGTAGTTTCTATTGTTATGTCTTCAAGTTTACTAGTCTTTTATTCTGCAATGTCTTATCAGCTGCTAATAACAGCCAGTATATTTTCCACAAGAGTGTGAGATCTCTTTGGGTCTTTATTCTATCTTCTGTTATCTCTCCTTAGCATGCTCAGTCTTTCCTCTACCTTTTTGAATATATGAGGTTTATTTTAATGTCTTAATGTCTTTGTTCTGTATTATTTCTGTTGCTTGATTTTTGTTTTCATTATGGGGTTGTATTTTCCAGCTTATTTGTATGTCTGGTACTCTTTGTAGCTCAGGCATTTTGAATTTTGTTGCTAGGTACTAGAAAATATGTATATATGTTATGTTTATATAAAGTATGTGTAACATGAGTTTATTACATACATCCTTATATATGTATGCACACATACATGGAATACAAACGTACATAGGAGACAGTATCTCCACCCTATCTCTACTTCATTTGAAGAAGTCAGGAAGTCCTGTGTTCATAGTGGATAATCAGTTGTAATTTGCATTTTATTTTTTATACATCTGTAGGACAGAGAATCCTACTCCCATGATTTTTGTTAAGGCTCTTAGTATCTCAAAAATTGCCAACATCTTTAAAGCTAAATTAATTTCACTAGAAAAAACTAAAGGTACATATAATACTCGAGGCATAAAGTACTTGGAAGTTAAAAAAAACCCAAAATATCCATCTTGGGTTGGAAGCAGTGGTTTAAGGAGCTGAAAACTCCTTGTGCTGCTTTCAGAGGGAGCACTCTCTAACTCCTCCAGCTTCATAGCGGGTCAGACGATTCCCTAAAAGGCAACCCAGAGTTTGGGCCTAGTTAGTGTTGAATTCCTACATGCTGGCTGTGACCTGCTTCCTTTGAAGCGCTCATTGAGGTGGGGGTGCAGCAAAGAAAATGGAGGAGGTAGGAGATAGAAGAGTATCTGAATTGTCCGCCTCCCCCTTTTGTATTAGAAAACAGAAAACCACTTTTCTACTGTGGTGAGCCACCCACTAACATCTCTTTCCTGGGTGCTGGCCCGCCAGGTGCACCCTATCCTCCAGTGAAGCCAGGAAAGGGCCAGCCGTCAGCTTTGCTTGCATAAGTGGTACACCATGCTATGTGAGTTTGCTCTGAAGAGCTAGAGGGATATTCCTGAACCCAGGAGAGCAAGAAAATACACTTAACCTATATCTTTCAGTGGTCACCATGATGAATGTGTTAAAAGACAAGGGAAAATGAGGGAAATCAAAGTGACTTCATAGCATTTTCAGACTGATTAATCTACATTTTTGGTTCTTTTTTTTTTTTAAAGGAATGGGGAAATAGTACCTTGAAGCCATGGGAAAAATATACCAGGATCTTCAGTGATTGAGAAGGGCAGGTCCTCAACTATAGAAAAAGAAGCAAGACATCTTATGACACTAAAATCTGAGCTCACCTATTAGAAAAGTCACTTTTTATGTGTGAATTGAAACCTTTGGCTTTTTGCTGAAGACGTCTGTGGCTGTTTTAGCTGTCTGAGGAAGGCTTCAGACTTGTTAGCCAAGTGATGTGAGATGCAGGTGGCCTGATTCTGCCACCACTTTCACAGGCCCTTTTCCTGTCGTCAACCCCGTTTTCCAGCTGTAAATGGTGGCCAATGCCACCTGCCCTTCATAATATTTATAATGGTATTTGCATTTATATACTGTAGTACCTTATGAATACTGCTCTGCAGTTAGTGAGGTCTTTCCATCTGCTAATTTTACATCAGACACTGAAGTTGAAAAAGTGTCACACCTCTTGCAGATGAGGAAATGGGGAAGTTTCAGGATCAAGAAAGGTTAAGTGACTTGGCCAATGTCCCAAGTACAAGGATCCGGGCCAAAGCAAAAGGCTTCTAATTCCAAATTCAGTGTTCCTTCTGCTAGAATGTGCTGCCTCCCTCCAGGACTGGCAGAAGATACTGGGGCCAGTCCTCAGGCTAAGGCTTTAATTATTCTGCCTCACTCAGCATGTGATGTACCACGTTGTGTTTGTAGGTGTCTTAGTGGGAGGTTTTCCTGTAAAAGGGACAGGGTCTAGATGTGGGACTGGCTCAGTCTGTGGAGAGGTGATGAGAATGCTGGTTGTGGTTTTCTCACAACTCAATTACCGCCTGGTATCATTTGGTACTTACTTTGCTAACTACACTTTTGCAAAAAGAAGCATGAATCAATTCAGTTAATGTAGAAGAGGAGGAAATATTGCTAAGAAATGCTCCTGGAGATTGGTCCTCACAGCTAATTCTGGGAGGGTGTCTGACTTTACAGTGTTGGCTTAGTCATTTCGAGCACAGGGCTTCAGACTTTGAAAACAACTACAAAGGTTGCAGCAGTTGCTTACTGAGATAGCTTGTAGAGTGTTTAATGGCTAAGCCTTTAACACAGGCTTAAACTACAGATTTAAATAGTAATCATTTTTTATGACCAAACCATTGAAAGAAATTGACATTTGTTTCCTTTAAAAAATTAAACCTCAAAACCAAATTTATCAAATGGACTGATATCTCCTGCACTGATTTCCAAACCCCCCACCTTTGTCAGGTTGAACCAAATTGGAAATTTAAACCAAATGATTATATATTTTTCATTTCCTAGCTAACTGGCTTCAATTCCTCAGTCTTCTAAACTCAAAGTAAATCACAGCAGTGCTGGTTCAGTAAGAGCACACATAAAAACATTAAAGAGGGACGCCTGGGTGGCTCAGTCGGTTAAGCGTCTGCCTTCGGCTCAGGTCATGATCCCGGGGTCCTGGGATCGAGTCCCGCATTGGGCTCCTTGCTCAGCAGGGAGCCTGCTTCTCCCTCTGCTGCTCTTCCTGCTTGTGCTCTCTCTCGCTATGTCAAATAAATAAATAAAATCTTAAAAAAAAAAACAAAAAATGTTAAAGAACAGGCGGGAGACCTGGGTGGGCGTGCTCATACCTGAAGGACAGTTAGGGTTAAGTCTGTATCTCTTCAGCTACATTTAGTTCTTAATTCCCAGAGTTTTGAATGTCAGGGTGTGATGACCTCTATGAAAGAGCAGCTGATTAGCAACAGTCCGGACTTTGTATTGTACAGATGTTGTCCTCGCCCCCACCCCACGTATACACCTTTGTCATTACACTGAATGTACTACATTGTAATGATTGGTTTTCCTTTTGAGACTGTGACACATGTAATGCTCCTAATTCAAGTTGGCGATCCAGGACCTGGCACATACTTGGCATTTAAAAAAATTTTTGATGTGTCCGGAAATTTTACAGAAAAAAAGAAAGTACACCATTATTTAAAGTCTTTTTTTTTTTTTTTTTTTTTTAACTTTTCACAAAGGATTTGCTGTAAGTCTTCAAGTCATCTTGTCCAATCCAAAAGCCGTATTTAAGCGTCGCGGATCCCAGCCAGGGATGCAAGAATCTGATTTTCTAAAACAGATAACAACAGTTGAAGAACTGGAACCAAAAGCAAGTAACTGCACTAAGGTATTCCTTTCACTTGTGCTGCTTGACCTTGTTCAGTGTCAGCATTAAGAAGTGTGGCTACCCAAGCGATTTCCCTCCCCTCTAGGTTCTCGTATGGCACACTCGGACAGAGAAGGTTAATCTAGCCAACGAGCCAAAGTACCGCCTGGACACGGTGAAAATTGAGGTATAAACGGAAGCAGCAGCTGGTGCAGTTTGCCTGGCTAGTGGACGTGAAGAGGAGTGCGGAGGTCAGGCTCCAGAACATTCAGGTATCGTTCGCTTGACTTCGGTACGACAGCCTATGTCGTCACCTAACGGACATCTGTTTCAACAGAGCTTGTCCGTCCGTTAACACAGCTGATGGAATGGTATCAAATGTGTGTTTTTGTCTTCCTTTGTTCTGCATGTCTTCCCTACAACTAAACTGGAAGTTCTTTGTACACAGCTAGTGACACTGGAGGGTACGATTGTGAGTATCTTATGTACTTTTTTTTTTTCCCATTTGGCCTTATAATTGGTAGAACTGAGCAGGTTTTAGAAACAACAGGCATTTTGCCAACTAAATGTTCCCAATTCCTCACTTTGCAATGTTAAGTTTAAGTTTTGTAAGGTTGGTGGCAGTATACGTTGTAGGAAATAAAACCCACAAAAATAAAAAGGTCTGTGGATTCATCTGTTTAATATAGGGATATAACATTTTGTCAATACTAGGCACCATAAAATGTAAACACAATTACTGTCATAAACCTGGATATACCTTCAAGGATTGAAAGTGGCTTGTTTAGTTACCCTGTTTGCATACAGTGCAGAGAAAGATCTTCGTTATTAGCACTACGTACATAAGAAGAGATCCAAATTACAGGAGAGGCAGATAAAATTTGAGTTCTTTAAACATTCGTTAAACTAAGTTTTGTAGTAACATCCAGGTTTATCTTCCTTTCACTAACCACGCTCCCTGTTAAGCACATCATAACAACAGCACAGTGAAGTGAATGATGAAATAAAAGAATTTTGATACACTAGAAAACAGTGCTCAGTGATACATTTACATTCTATTTATATGATTAAACATTTGATCATACAGTACCTTCCTAAGGATTACTGGCTAATTTGGGGGTGGGGTTTATACTGTTAGAGGTATTACTAACATGATAACTACTTCCCTTATATGCAGACATTAGAGCTATAATTTTATTGAGAGTAAAACTGATTATGCAAGTTGACTGAGCAGCTTCTCAAATAATGTGGTTTATGAAATCATGGGAAATGAGCAAAGCTGCCCTTGACATAAAATGGTTTCTCAACCTGCTTTTCACATCAAATTTAATCAGTACAGACCAACACGGTCAGATAATTCTTAATATGAACAAATGGGGAAAAAGAAAAAATTTATATGTACATGAATAAACAGGGGAACTAGATGCGTTTTAGCAAGGAATGTCAGGTGGTAGTTCTGGATGAAACTTGGATTGCAGTTTTCATTTCCACAGCTGTGTGCTGAGAGTCTGACCCGATGAGCTTCCAGACCATCCTGCTGTTGTGTTGGGGGGCTGGCCAAAACCCACTGTTGGGTTTGTACTGCTGATACTCATGCCAGCCATTTGCTGATTCATCTGTGAAACATAAAAAAGCTTACTTTAAAAGGCTTACTTCACTTTTAATTCTTGTTTCTTTAGCCACAGACATTTTTAAGTTACCCTGTTGTATTAGAAGCTGCCTTTACTGGAGGTTTAGTCAGATAATGAAGTTTAATAGCAATTATAAGTCCTTTTCCTCAATGTGAAAATTAGTCAAAGCACAGGAGTAAAAGCAGACTACCAAACAATTACTTCCCTAGAGAAAGCTACTTTGTTTCCTTCTTGTTCTTTATCTCCTTCCACATTTTTTAACACTGTCCATATAGTCTGTTTATTCCTTTTCAAGACTCCATTTTTTTGTCCCCCAAAGATTAACCACAACTGAAAAAAAAAGTACCAAAGCAATCTTTGAATTTGTATCCAAGTCCACTATTCTTTCAACTCTACCAGCATGTTGTTCTTTAACTGTAAGGATTGAGGAAATTTAAGAAAGTAAGATACTCCAAAATTATACATTGTGGATGACAGCTATTATTCTGTCTTTATTAAAATCTTAAATGGTTCTATATATACTTTCTAAATATTAAAAAAGGTCATAAAGCATACCTTTTGCTCAGTTAACCACTAAATATCTAAAATTAATTTTCATTATATAAGGTATAAGATTACATGTATTTTTATTCCAGACTGGAATCATATATGTATAGAAGCATCCTAACCCTTTCCCTGTGGTACTCTCTTACTTCTAAGATTGATGGTAAGTAAAGGAAAGGCAAGATTTATCACAAAGCACAGAGTGGATTCAAAACCTATGCTCAGGGTTGGAATGTATTCTTAATAAAGTTCATTTGTTATTTTGCAAAGACACTTACTTATGTTTACCACACTGCTGATGAGGCGTAAGTGTCCAGTTCGTCATCCCTACTAAAGGATGCTATAACCACCTTTCAGTGAGAGGCTGCTGGAAAACAGCAGCGCCCCTCAGCATGCCTGGAAGTAAGGGCCGACCGTAACTCCTTACGGATTCATCTAGCACCTTAACCTGAGCTGGGCGTGCTTCAGCACTTTGTCTCACAAAAGCTGTTACTGATATTTGGTACTTGAGGTTCCCAGAGGATAGAGATCAAGAGTCAGATGCTTAACCAACTGAGCCACCCACCCCCCGAATAATTCCTTTAAATAATGACAAGAGGGGCGCCTGCCTGGCTCGGTCAGTAGAGCACGTGACTCTTGATCTCAGGGTTTTGAGAGTTTGAACCCCACACTGGGTGTGGAGAGAACTTTAAAATAAAAGTGACAGTAAAAGCATTCATGGGATGCTAATGTTAATTATCTAATTATGCTAATGTTAATTATCACTACAAACTATTCTCTGAATGCTCTCAAGGTAAAACAGCTGACCAGAACAAAAACCAAGATCCCCCAAATGCTAGAGAAACATCAAATAAGAACTGTAAAGGGAAGAGTTGCTGGAGCATGAAACGAAGTCTAAGGTCAGAATGGAGCATAATATAGAAATTGATTTGAGAAAAGTTATACTAAAATGTCAGCTTTTGGCTTTAAACTAATGTAAGTAGAAATGGGATTTTGTAATATAAGGGGATGTCTGAGACAAATATGGACTTGTCCCTAAGTAAATTAAACAAGAATATTTCTTATAAAGCCAAGGGCAGTAGTCACATGACATAGAGAATGGCCTAGATCCCTCACAAAATAGTGCTTTGAGAAGAGGAGGCTGGATATTTTTCTAATTTGTCAAAGTTAACACACAAAACCCCAAAATTATAAGTGACGGTAGGCTGGTCTAAGTGGACTATAAAAATACTCCAAAAGGGAGCTGCGTTAAAAGCTTGGTGCTAATTTCATGGGGTGGTGGGGGGGAAGAAGACAGGAAGTCTCCCAAGATGCCCAAGATAATTTCTAGCTATTACAAACAGGATGTTCGCCAGTGTTATAACCTGAAGTGAAAAAATGCTTAACATTTCTTTAGTCAGTGACTGCTCATTTGTCTATGTGATTGTAACTTCATAATACCTATAAACAGTTCTCACCTCATACAACATAGCCCTACTCAAATCTTTCTGCCAGGTTGTTAGATTTAAATAAAACCATTTAGAAAATAAATCCAGTTTCTTTGATTTTGGAGAAGTTGGAGAACAAATGACCTCTTACCTGTGAGAGGTTCCACTGGGGCTGTTGAGCTTGCGGCAGGCCAAACTTACTCTGGGGTGCACCCATCTGTCCCACCATTCCTCCTTGGGGGCCAACCACGTTTGGAGGAAGTGGCATCACGCTAGTTTGTGCATTTCCCATAAACCCATTGGGCATGGGCATGCCCACCATCACGCTTGCACTCTGTCCCATCACATTTCCGAGGAGGCCAGGAGCTGCAGGTGTAGGCACAGGCACACCCATCGATGGAAAACCTTGAAATGCAGTCGGTGCTTGTGAGGTAAATGGTATATTTGTGGGTCCCATAAACACACCTGCATTTTAAGAACCATGAAAAGAAAATGAGAAAACAGGGCTATTGTGTGCAGCTGCACTCATCTCTCTAATCACAGAAAAAGGATCACCATCTTTCTCAACTACCCACAGCAAAAATTTTAATTCCGGTCTGCTCCTACTGCTCAAACTTACACCATAACCCTCAGAGCTGCTTACTTCCAGAATGCAGTTATAAACCTGAGCACATTTAACTAGGATAAATAAATCTTATGCAATAGCTATAGAAAATACCCAAACTACGTAGCATGAGATTACGTGCTGACAAGCACCACTAGGCTCCCACCATCAAACGCACAGTGAGAGCTGTCTGCCTTTAATAGAAGCAGGTGAGATGTCCTATAACTTTAGCTCCCTATTTAGAGGAAATGGGCCCAACAGATTATGTAAACAACAAATCTTACTGTGCGGTATCTCATTATAATTATTAAAAACTCAAAGTTTTGAATTCGTGTGGTAACAAAGTTGTAAACTTCATGCAAATCAAAATCTTCAAAAACAATCCATATCCTGTAACCTTGTGAAACAATATTGATATGTGAACAGCTTGTTAATTCTAAGCAAATAAAGTTGTTTTGTGAATCCTGTATATGCTTTTTAATTCTAACACTTCAATTTTGTATTTGCACAAATTGCAACAAAAGTACCAATTCCATAGAAAAATAACACAAAGGGTATACTTCTAGTAATGTCACAACAAGCTGCTGACAGCAGATATTAAAATGAATTACCAGGAGTACTCTGCTGCTGAATGGTTCCTGTACCATACAAAGATAAGATGGAGTCTTTGGAGAGTTGTTTCTTTGCCACCTCTTCTGACTTTGTTGCTTGCTCGGTGAATAGATCCAGATCTCCAGATATTACTGTAGACAGAGTGGTAGCTGCAGGTATAGAGGGTGTCCCCTGAGACAAATACCAAAGCAAGCTGTCAAATTCTGCATACTAGAACACAGTTCATCTGTTAAAATCTAAATGAAATTAGAAATTAACTGTAGAAGGTAATATGGTCACATTACAGAGGATCATTCCCAAGCCCACATAAAACAGCATCTAGGGGGGCACCTGGGTGGCTCAGTTGGTTAAGCAACTGCCTTCGGCTCGGGTCATGATCTCAGGGTCCTGGGATCGAGCCCCACATCGGGCTCCCTGCTCGGCGGGAAGCCTGCTTCTCCCTTTCCCACTCCCCCTGCTTGTGTTCCCTCTCTCGCTGTCTCTCTCTCTGTCAAATAAATAAATAAAATCTTTAAAAAAAAAAAAAAACAGCATCTAGGAGGAAGGTACAATGTTTCCTATTTTAAATCTGTTGCTGGAAGAGAGGCAGATTGAAGCTCTTTCATAATGAATTGCGTTTACCTGCTCAACTAACAACTGAGTTTTTGCCCATCACATCCTGACCCACATCCTGACCACAGTGGCTTCAACAGGATGTGATGGCCGTGTGAGGACCACCATTCCTGGAAGATGCTGAGGCATCCCCTGTGGCAACTACTACTCCAAGGTTCTGGTATCCCTTGAAATAAAGAACATTGCTACAATGACAGCATACTCCAAGAGGGTCCTGCAAAGGCTGATCTTGTCTTCTTTGAAAAAAAGAAAAGGCTTTTTCAAAAGCTGCATCAAGATATTTTTATAAATCTAACCTAGATCAGTTTTAACCACAACATTAGGATGTTTCTAGTCCATCCAGAAATGAAGCACAGCAAAGTTCAACCACCTATACTCTCAACCATATCTCCAATCCCACTTTTGGACAAGGGGCAAAGGAACACAAATACAAAGAAACATGTAGATACAAAACAAAAATTTTCACTTAATCTGTATCTGCCCACAGATTAAAGTGAGGTTATTATAGCTGTGATTGAATAATGATCTCTACAGTCACTAAATATTCAATCACATTTGTTTACATGAAATTGTTTTAGATATAAAGAGTTTCAAAGAATTCTAAGAACAGTAAAAACTGAGTAAGAGTCTTCTCAAACTATAGAATAAGGTGAGAGTAGTAGGTACAAGTTAAACATGCATATGATTTGTCTTAATTTTTTTAAAAATTTAGACATGTAATAGGTTGGCTAAAAAACCTAGCAATAAATTACCATCCAGAGTTTAAATGAAGAGTTTAAATGAAGTCTACATTGTTCTACTTGCTTTGATACTGAACAGAACACATGAAGTAGTACACTGAAGCCTCAGATGTGGGGTCTAATTCTCTAAGCAGTTCCAAAGCAACTCTCATAGTCCAGTGGAATCGAAGGAAGTCTAGCAGATAAAACAGCCTCACTAGAATGCTAGACCAAAAGAAACTGCTTTTCATGCTCAGATTGTCAAATATTCTAAATGCTTCTTTCTGAAGCCACAACATTAGCATTAGACAATTTTTATTACCACATGAATACCCCTGCGTGCACAAATTCACAAGGTGCTTAATGTTAACTGAAACAACAATAGTAACAAACAGTTCCTCTTTTTATGTGTTGGTGCAGGGGAGAAGGAGCCAAGTCATAAAGCTATCTTTTCTGAAAATAAAAAATGCTGCAGACAATTTTGATAAAGATAATTTAAACTAGTACCTCAAATTTATTTGCTCAATTCTATTGGTAATTATACAATGACTATCATAACAAAAAATATGTGTAATAAAATAAGCAATCTTCTTAGTAAGACATAGATTCTTATTAAAACTTTCTACCCAAACAATATACATTTGGCTCTGTTTTTCTAGAGAAAAGATAAATATTTTACCTCAAAAATTATGCTGTACTGAAACAAACTATTGTTCATTTATAAAGTATAAATTTAAAATAGAATCTTAAAGCTGTATGCTTAAGAGTAACCTATATCCCTAAAAAAGTTCATTTATTCACCTTAAAGAAAGCTAAATACTTCATGGGATCACTTGTATGTGGGATCAAAAAAAAAAAAGCTGAATTCATAGAAAGCAGAATGGTGGTTACCAGGACTCAGGAGTGAGGAAATACAGGGAGGCTGATACAAACTCAGTTATAAAATGAATTAAGGTCTGAGGGCCTACAGTGTGACGATAGTTGATTATACTGTATTATGTAACCAAAATTTGTGAAGAGGGAGCTAAAGTGTTCTCATCAAAAAAAAAAAAAAAAAAAAAATACATGAGGTGATGATGGATGTGTTAATTAACTTGATGGTGGGAATCAAATACACACTTTAAGTATTTACCATTTTACTTGTCAGTTATACCTCAATAAAGCTGAAAAAATATTTAAAGGTATTAAACAATTTACAATTTTAAAAAAGGAATGAAGGCAAAAAAAAAATTCCACGTAAGAACACAATTCAAAATTTCTTTGCCATCAATATGTAAAAAAATTCTGATCATTTATATTGTTCTAAATAATTTTTTAAAAATCATTTTAAAAAGTAAAAATAGTGTGTCCATTATACTTCAATTTAAAACAACTAATCTTCATAAAAAATATGAGTACTGAATTTGCTAGAATTTCTTATTCTTGGTTTTCCTGCAGCCAGAACTAAATCTTCGGAATGGCTCAATACAGCATAAAAAAAGAACTACTGGCTTGTAATCAATATTTAAACACCCATGGTTTTAAAACCTCTGAAGTGACCTTGTTAATCTCAGGCAAGTTTGAGATAGTCTGAGTTTTCCCACTGGTTCACTCTAAACAGCACTGTTTGCCTAAAGCAAGAGTCAGCAAACTTTAAACAGTGAATATTTAGGCTTTGTGGGTCAAACAGTGTCTGTTGTAACTATTCAACTTGTAGTGTGAAAGCAGCCACAGACAATATATAAACAAATGGAATGGCTGTTTCAATAAAACTTTATTTGCAAAAATGAGCTGCAGGCTTAATTTGCCAACCCCTGGCCTAAAGAATAAAGCTTTCAAATCAGAGACTGCTCAGAGACAATTCTTTCAAAATTGAAATTTTGAGACTTTTCAAAAAGGAAATAAGCCGTGATCATGTAAAACCATATTCTTATTACATACCTGAGCTGGGGGTATGACAGTTGCAGGTAAGGGATTAGAAATCATTGGTCCAAATATGTCTAGATCATCATTCAGGGACGGCACTGTGGTTGTGTTCCCATTGGTCACTGGTGCCTCAGCAGGGCCATCTGAAAAGAATATAGATTCTCATCCTAAAGTAGATTCTCTTAAATTACTTGAAACATGGCATCATTTAAAAAATTAATATATGGTTTAAAAAAAAAAAGTTCAAAAGTTGACAACAAAATATATGTCCCCCTTCTACCCCAGGCTCTCTCCTCTTTCCCAAAGAAACTATTTCCAGTTTTATTCTCCCAAAAATATTCTTTACTCACCGGTTTCTAGGTATAATATATCCAAATCCCATTTTAACAATAGTGGTATTACACTATTCACATTATTCTGCATCCTGATGCTTCCTTATGTGCCAGGCACTGTTCTGAGTACAGACATTAACTCATTTAATCCCCATAACGTTATGAGATACTACTCTGGAGATAACTGGCTAAACTGGCATTTGATACCATGTTCTTACAAATAATGTCTCTCCATAAATGTGCACATGCTGCATGTGTGTATTATGGACATCACTTCGTATCATGTCTACCGACGTTGGAAATAAATTTTGAGGATTTAAAATGTCTGAAATGTTGAATTCTCAAGTTACAATAAGGGAAAAAAACTGCATAGAAAGAAAGAAAACAAACATACACTACGTAGACTGATTCTACAGGAAATATCCATAAAACTTTGAAATAAACCCTTTTTTACTCGAGCATGGCCACCTTCCACGATAGCCGTACCAAGCCACTGAACTGTACAGGGGAAGGAAGTCTGACAGTGACAACATCCTGTATCAGCTTCCTACTTATTCTCCCACTCAAAAAATTTTATATCTCCTTTTTACATTAGTGCAGATTGTTAAATGTAAGGGGTGGGACTTGGAGTGGGCTGGAGTAGAGTTTGTGAGCACAGTCCAGGGAATGGGACACCTCACACAGTTTACTGTGGCCACAACCAAATAACAGTTCAGAGTACCCCAACTCCAATCTCTTGGGACTTACATCCTAACTGAGCTTCTAATTTAGCAATTTACAATCTCATTTGATCTCTCTTTGATACACTACACACTCCTCAAAGGTCATCAGTCATCTTTCAAAATTTCTTCAACATTGAGTGGGATGTCTTGCACAGAGCAGGCTTCATATATTTGGCAAATTTAAAGGAAGGTCTACCACAGACTGGGTATTTCTGCCACAACCCACAGAAACTCACAGGTTTCTTCTCTTTTGTGAAATATAACTATAGAAACTGGTATATTTTATGTCCCTGTTTAAGCTTCAGTGAATCACAGATTATCATTAATTTCAATGAATAAATGGGTCACAATGAAGTATTTTTTACTACTTAATTTAGAAAAGACTGTGTAAAATTCACAAAAGATTTGAAAGAGATCAACTGCAAATATTTTTAATCATTTTCAGTGATACCACATTATCAGAACCACAAAAAATGTATGTTTCTTATATATGTTCTATCTGTATTAAGCATTATGGATAATTTAAAGGTGAAGCAGTAAAACAATGCACAGATTAATACTAATTTATAATATATAGAATTTTAAGCTAAGACACAACTATGACACAAAAGAATTCAAATATGACTCATGAAAGCCTTTTTTTTTCATTTCTAAACACAAATGGCAACATTCGTTTTGAAGTCAGACCTCTTAAAAGAACTATTTCATGTTTTCCAGTCCATTCCGCATTCCACTTACATCATGTGTAATACATCATGTAAATATGAACCAGAAATAAAATATTTTAAAAGGACAAGATATTCTAGATTAAAAACACAATTAAAGGAACATCTTTTTTGCGGTATCTACAACAGCTCAGTAAAGAAACTCAAATAACAAGGACATGTGAGCCAGTGGTGCCCATAAGCTGCAGAGTTGGGGACAGGGAAACAACCTCATCAAACGGACATGTTTAATTCTATCATATGAATAAGGAAGCATTTTATTAGCAGAAAATATAACTAAATTTTATATATGCAGTTTAAATTCACAAAAAAAGGCACATGTCCTATAAAACAAACTATGACCAAGAGGAACAAAGGTAAAAAAGCAAAAACCTGACAAGCTGAGTATAAACTATGTATTTGCAGTTTTTCAGTTACAATTTTTTGCTTCTTTAAGTAATAGCAAACACTAATAATTAGGAAAAATTTACCAAAAAAATACCTTACACATGAGAAAATATCTTTTATTTTATGGTGAATACAGAAAATGTCATTAATTGATTTTTATCACAGGTCATGTCAATCTAGTTTACAGGACACCAGTGAGCCCAGGATACATTGTGTGAGAACCAAGAGGTTCACCTACTCCAGGCAAATGATCTGTTCCATACTTTTATAGACTGTACATCTTTCGGAAATTTAGGTCTGTTCTAAGTAGTATACTGTACTTCATTAAGAATATTTATTTATAGTTTCAAATCTAAATTCTGTTCAGGATCTAGTAGTACATTATCTAAACTATAAAACAACATGCAGTACTTTATTTGGTGTTTGAAGTCTTATTTTACCCTTCATACCCTGAGGATCACATATCTATTAAAAATAACAGCCAACCTTTAGTATAGTGCTTGTTTTGTGCCAGTCTAAAAAAATACAAATACATAAACACATATATGCACTTCTTTAGTCTTTATAATGATGCTATGAGAGAAGTACTATTAATTACCCTCATTAGCAGATGACAAAAACATTAAATTTGTCCACCGTCACAGAGCCAGAGCAAAGCCTTGGGTTATAATATCTAAATCAATTTTTACTATAGAATCAACACATTCTTGGAAAACATACAAACTATGCAAAAATGAATAAAAGTTCATGGATGATGGTAATGGTTGCACAATAATGTGAATGAATGTACTTAATGCCACTAAACTGTACACTTGAAACTGGCTAAAACGGTAAATTGTACATTATGTGTATTTTACCACAATACAAAAAGTCCCTGTGTTTTTTAATGCTTATGAACAAATGCTTAAAAACATACTTAAGACAATGTATATACAAAAGTCATTTTCTTTAGATAAAATTGTTTTTGTGTGGGTGAGGGTGGGCTGCATTCTATATTGCATGGACTTAAAATAACTTATTTACTCAGTCCTTCACTACTGGAAATGTAGGTAGTTTCCAGACTTTCACCATTACAGAAACAGTAAATAACCACAGTCCTTCATATAAAGCCTACACAGCTCACTTCCTTCATGACTTCATGTTCTACCACTGCACTGTAAACAGCTTCATTTTCTCATTCCATTAAAAATATATTTGCATTTAAAATCTCGGAAAAGCATTCCACACAAACTCTACCTACCATAGTGGAACTGCCATGAAAGTCAACTCATAATATAAGTCCAAGGAACTCTGGAATCCTTTAGAGTAAGACAGACGAAGCATCTCCTTAGAAATAGTGATCTTGGGCGCCTGGGTGGCTCAGTCATTAAGCATCTGCCTTCGGCTCAGGTCATGATCCCAGGCTCCTGGGATCGAGCCCCACATGGGGCTCCCTGCTCCGCGGGAAGCCTGCTTCTCCCTCTCCCACTCCCCCTGCTTGTGTTCCCTCTCTCGCTGTGTCTCTCTGTGTCAAATAAATAAATAAAAATCTTTAGAAAAAAAAAAAAAGAAATAGTGATCTTTATGGCAAAGTTGCCACTGTTTCCAAGTGGTTAAGGAAGATACTGTTTTAACTACAAAAACTTAAGATGAGGAACTTTCTCCCAGGTCTGACCAAGGTTTCCAATCCAGCCTCGTGACAGACAATGGTGACTCTCCTCTGCTTTCACATCTGCAGCACACCTGTCTTCTTTTCTCTCTATCCTGGTTTTCTCCCCATACAATCCCCTAAATATGATGGATTTTATCCCCATCAATTTTTCTTGTTAATACAAAAGCTAAGCATTCACAGAATTGTTGAAAAACAAATCCTTAACCTAAACAAAAACTTCTCAGCCTTGCATGATCAGTAAACAAGTTCCCAATGGGTTTTCCCAATGGACTTTAATGTTTGTGAATTTGACTTACTACCCTGGCCTGCTGTTTAGCATTCTTTAAAAAGGATTTTTCAGTTCATTTTGAAGGTTGTGTTTTTGATTGTCGGTATTTAAAAAGGACAGTTAAAGACTGTCATTATCATCATTATAAACATCGTAGTTCCCGGACATTTTAAAAGAATGTTTACATGTTATCATTTTTGTCTCTATGAAAGATGGGAAAGGCATCTCTTTCCACTATCTCCAGTAACAGAAACCAGGGCACCAACAGATTAAAAGACTTGTTCAGTGTCACTTCCCTAGTTAAACAGCAAAGTCTGCACTAGAACAGAGTCTTCTGATCCCTAGGCTAGTGAGTACTCTTTACTTTAAACCACATGTCATCAGTAGTCACGTAATTAAAACTGTACCTAATTACAAAGACGTCACTTAAAATTCTGAAATTTAAAAGCCAACTTTTTTTTTTTTTAAGATTTATTTATTTGACAGAGAAATAGCGAGAGCAGGAACACAAGCAGTGGGAGTGGGAGAAGCAGGCTTCCCGCGGAGCAGGGAGCCCGATGCAGGGCTTGATCCCAGGACCCCGGAATCATGGCCTGAGCCGAAGGCAGACACTTAACGACTGAGCCACCTGGACGCCCTAAAAGCCAACTTTTAAACAGTTTATAATTATTTGCACCAAGAGCAGCAGTGACACCAAAGGTTCAAAAACCATTCAGCACCACATGCACAGTTCCTCTTCATCTCCCCATTCCACTGTCCTACCAATCCTAGTATCTTCTCAATTTATAGGGAAGGACACAGGTGGATGTGGTCATCAATGAGCAAACTGGGCTGAGGGAACCAAGTGTGGGGTATAGTCAGCCGTGGGTCAACAGAATATTTACATATCACAGTGAGTTCAAAGAATCCTTTTGATCAAGGGTCCACTAATAGCACAGTCTTTGCTGACTGAATAAAAGCTCAGAGTCCACAAAAGCAAGAGAGAAGTGGACGTCTGTGCAAACTAATCAGAATTCACCACAGTCCTGCACCTCGGAGTGAATGTTGTGTTCCTTCCT